AAGCTCCGAGGCGGATCAGTGCCAACATAAGGTTGGTCATGTTTCGTTGGAAGAGGTGGGACACGATCTTATTAACTTAAAAGCAGACGCAGAGCTGAGTCAGAACCTTAAATCCATCATCACCAAATGTTGGTTTTAGCTTCTACATCAGGTGACACACAAACAGCAGGATGGCCCTTTAGGTTAATAACGACCGTCTAAACGCACTTTAAATGGCATCTCTTCAGAAAGTTGTACACAGGAAACCGTTCCTGTTGCTCTTGTGGGTCGGCTGTCAGATCTCTTTACTACTCGGCGTCGCTTCTCCGGGGGTTTGTCATATCCAACAACAAAGTAGGATGCAGGTGTTCCTCTCTGGGTTTTCACAATAAAATGAAAGGAATGCACAAATAAAGTTTCTGGTGGTTTTCAATATAAGAGTTTTCAGCCACATCCTTCTGGTTTCCTCGTCTGTGGGGAGGTGGTGAACACCGTAGCGACGCTCGCGCGCTCTGGAGGTGCACGTTCTAAAAATCGCTCTTTTAGCTACACATGGATGTTGGTACAAGGACGAACAGCGCAACATCTTCCCGAGCCGCCTGAGTACATTTAAACCCTGTTACTAGCAGCGAGACCTCACATACAAACCAGTGGGTATGCGCCGCGTCCGGTATCTCACCAGACGTGGCTTGCATCAGCATCTCTCCATGACGCTACTCAAAAACAAGGTGGATAGGTACTGGAAAGGTGTAATCTAAGCCCCGCCCCTATTTAAAGTGGGTTTTCCACGTTTGACATAGATGGCTTCTTTTACTCCTCTCTCACACCATCTGTCTTCTCTGTCCAGAATGTGTCCTTGTCCTTCAGGTGTAGGTGGACTGCCATGTCTTGTAGACATCTGGACAGTCCTCACTACACTGGACTGCATGCACTGAGCTTCTGTTTGGGTGTTGTTGGGTCTTCAGGATGGACCAGGTTCTGTCTGAGGGTGTTGTTGGGTCTTCAGGATGGACCAGGTTCTGTCTGAGGGTGTTGTTGGGTCTTCAGGATGGACCAGGTTCTGTCTGAGGGTGTTGTTGGGTCTTCAGGATGGACCAGGTTCTGTCTGAGGGTGCTGTTGGGTCTTCAGGATGGACCAGGTTCTGTCTGAGGGTGTTGTTGGGTCTTCAGGATGGACCAGGTTCTGTCTGAGGGTGCTGTTGGGTCTTCAGGATGGACCAGGTTCTGTCTGAGGGTGTTGTTGGGTCTTCAGGATGGACCAGGTTCTGTCTGAGGGTGCTGTTGGGTCTTCAGGATGGACCAGGTTCTGTCTGAGGGTGCTGTTGGGTCTTCAGGATGGACCAGGTTCTGTCTGAGGGTGTTGTTGGGTCTTCAGGATGGACCAGGTTCTGTCTGAGGGTGTTGTTGGGTCTTCAGGATGGACCAGGTTCTGTCTGAGGGTGCTGTTGGGTCTTCAGGATGGACCAGGTTCTGTCTGAGGGTGCTGTTGGGTCTTCAGGATGGACCAGGTTCTGTCTGAGGGTGCTGTTGGGTTAACGTTTACTGGGATGTTGTGTTTGGAGAAGATTCTTCTAGGTTTCTCTGAGACTCCTGCCACGTATGTGATGATGGTGCCTTTGGGCCTGTTGGCCTTTTCTTTGCTGGTTGCTGCTGGATGCTCTTCCAGCCCAGTTAGGGTATCTGTGGTTCTGGAGAGCTTTCTTCATGTGTTTTCCTTCAGTCTTTGTGGGAACATTCTCGGCCCAATGGTGTAAAGTCCTGATGGCTGTCATCTTGTGCTCCAGTGAGTGATGTGAGTCCAAATGCAGATACTGGTCTGTGTGAGTCGGCTTTTCATTGTTACCGGGCCAGCAGCAGCTCAACAGGTTGAGCGGGTTGTCCAGTAATCGGAAGGTTGCAGGTTCGATCCCGGCTCCAGACAGAGAATTCTGCTGTTGTGTCCTTGGGCAAGACACTTTACCCACCTTGCCTGCTGGTGGTGGTCAGAGGGACCGGTGGCGCCTGTGCTCGGCAGCCTCGCCTCTGTCAGTGCGCCCCAGGGCAGCTGTGGCTACATCGTAGCTCATCACCATCAGTGTGTGAATGTGTGTGTGAATGGATGAATGATACACTGTAGTGTAAAGTGCTTTGGAGTCCTTACTCTGAGAGGCACTACACAAGTGCGGGTCATTTATCACTTATCCTGGCTTGTGCAGCACACTCAGCTGTGGTTATCTCTCTGCAGACTTCCACGTCCCCTCAGAATATCTAACCAACATCCACATAAGGGACAAGGTAAGAACCCATGGCAGCTGCAGCTCTGTAAGGATCTGCTGATGGTAATGAAGCAGGTTGTGTATTTATCATGTTTGTGTGCAGTTAGCAGCTATAAAGTTGTCTCGGTATGGCGAGGACCTGCTGTTTTATCTCTACTACATGAACGGAGGGGACCTCCTACAGCTCCTGGCTGCAGTAGAGCTGTAAGAAGCTAACACAACACACCCGGTTCGGTGTGTTCACTCAGCTAATCTGTGTGTGCTGGGGTCCAGCTTTAACAGGGACTGGAGGTATCATAAAGACGAGCGGGTCTGGATCACCCGGGCCCCTGGAATGGAGCCCACTCTGAAGACCAACGCCTACGAACGAGGGACCTACTACTTCTTTGACTGTCTGATCTGGAGAAAAGTGGCCAAGGTAAATCAGGGCGTGCTGCAGAGTGCTTGGTCACATGGCATCATCATCACTTTAACCGTTGCTGACCGACATATGTGGTTGTGACACACACAGAAGGCACCAGAACCTGTAATAATAAAATGACACACACACACACACACCACACACACACACACACACACACACACACACTCACACACACACACTGATTCAACAAGTGCACGCTGCGCTGTGCCGTCAGACTGAAGGCAGAAATGAGCGCTGCCGCTTCTGTGATAAAAACTTTTAAGAGGTTTTATAACATCATTTTTCATTCAAGGTCATATTAGCTTCTATTTTGGGATGACGTATTAAAGTTTGGTCCGCTCCAGCCAGTGACTCCTCATGAACCTGACCACAACTCATGTTACTGCAGCATTTGTTGTTCCAGTCCGCGTGGCAGCGGATCGCAGATTCAGCCACACCATAAAACAGCAATAAGTCTGTCTGAGGCAAAGGTGAACCTCATTAGCCGAGTGAACTAGACCAAATTCTTGCTTTGCAAAGTTTGGTCTAGGCATGCTCCATTGGAACCTCAGCAGCTCCTACCAGGACTCTGGCTGGCCAATCACAGCTCTCTAGAGGGGTTTCAAACACATAAACAGCTGTGATTGGTCCATAATGGTGGGCCAATCATAGTGCTCTATCTGCTTAGTGAACAAATCACAGAGCTTTATCCGCTTTGTGGGCCAATCAGGGCACTCTATATGCCTGGTGGGTGGGATGATGCAACAGAGTGAAACAAGAGTATGTCACATTCATTGTCCAGTTGACAACGGTAGAACCCGCCCCACAACCGAGAGCCGTCAATGGAGCGTGGCCAGACTAAATAATACATTTATTTAGTCTGGCTTGCCAGGCTAGAACCTCATGGCTATATCTCTTCCATCTTTTCCCCTATAGACATTTGATTACGCACAGGTAGGTGACCAGCTCAGGTTTACGCAGAGCAGAAGGAAGGAGAGCGCTCTGGCCGCACGGGTTAAACGTTCCTGTTTTAAGAAAACCGTTAAATTGCATTTTTTATGTGCTACCTGGGCACTCTAAATATTTATTTAAAATTAAATCAAAGGAAATTGTAATGGTATCAAATGTTTATTAATTACTATTTCAAAAATACATAAACATAAAAATGAAAGTGATGGGGAAAAAGGTCGATCATATTTTTTTAACCCCGTCTGTCAAGTTACTGTTTAGCGTGACGTCTAATTATATACATACATACATATATATAGCCATGCCCTGATGTGGGGGCTGGGGGGTGCGTCGACATGGTCGGGACATAGAAGGGGGTGCGCGGCTAAATAAGTTTGGGAACCGCTGCAGTAGACCATGGAATACTTATAATGAAATTAAAACATAACAGGATAAGGGGGATGGCATATAAGTGGGTGAAATCGTACCCCACCGACCGACAACAGTATGTACAGATAGACGATCACAGATCAAAACTGAGAAATATGAATTGTGGAGTCCCTCAAGGTTCAGTTTTGGGACCAATACTGTTTCTTCTGTATATAAATGACGTATGCAACATATCATCAAAACTAAAAATTATCTCATTTGCTGATGACACAGTAATACTATTCTCAGGTTTAAGATCTACATTTAATCGTTTACAGAGATGACAATAGAATTAGAAATACCTAAAGACTGGTTTAACAAAAGTAGATTATCTCTAGATAAATAAAAAGAAAATGATGCTGTCTGGTAAGCAAACTGAAGAAACTGAAATCAAAATGTACAACAAGGAAATAGAAAAAGTAGAACAACATCGATTGTTAGGAGTGATACTCACAATATCAGCTGGAGATCTCATTTACATAGTATACAGCAGAAACTGGCAAAGAGTAGATGTAAATGCCTTCTGGACGACAGCTCGACTAACCTTGTACTACTCATTTATTCTCCCCTATACTAGTTACTGTGCAGAGGTCTGGGGTAATACCTACAGTAGCTTGGAAGCAGTATTTATACTACAAAAACAGCTTTTAGGATTGTACATAACGTTGGTTTCAGAGACCATACTAATACACTTTTTATAAAGTCAAAACTTTGAAAACTTGAATATTCGGTGAACTTAAATCACGGATAATTTTGTACAAAGCAGGACAGAATCAACTGTGCGATAAAAGCAGCTATTGCTTTAGTAATGCTCCTCGCCTTCTCTGAGTTCTGCGGTAGTTTGGAGACCGTCTCCAGGACGGTCCTCTGTTTGGCGGCACGGCCGGAGGTGCATTCTCTGTTTCCGGGTGAAGGCGTACATGGTGCTGCCTCATGTTTGTGGTGTTGCTGAGATATTTTATTTCGGCTTTGCAGATTTTGCAAATTGCATAAGATTTGTCGATTATCTTATTAGCGTTGTCATAAAATCCAAAGGACTTCCACACACTTGCAGTTAACCCTGCTACGGAGAGAATCGGCCGCTCTCCGGAGGTTGCAGAAGCTGCCGCCACTTTGCAAAGAGGTCAAAGAAGTAGTGCCACTCACTTAACGGTCCGGGCGGCGCGCGTTAAGGCTCCGGTTGTGTGTTTTTATTTTTTTTGTACCGGCTTCTCAACAAAACTTTGATGTTATCTATTTTTAAGCATCAACCTTCAATCTGCCGAAACAACATGTTAAGCTTTTAGATGCATCGCCACATCGATTAATGGCACCCACCCATAATGGCAACGCTCCCGGCCTCAGAGACAAGTTTCTCTTAATTCTATAGATGTGTGTGTGTGTGTGTGTGTGTGTGTGTGTGTGTGTGTGTGTGTGTGTGTGTGTGTGTGTGTCGGCCTTGACGGTGCTTCATGGGGTTGTGCTGACATCTTCTCTGCAGACAAAGCTCCTGACGGATAAAGAAGGTGAATTTGATTTGAACTGGTTCACCTTTAGCAGGATTAAACCGGACTGTAAACACGTGTCTGGTCCGGTTACAGCAGGCTGGATCTACATTCACTTCAGTAACTAGAGAATGTACTCTAGTAAGAGTAAAGATACTTCATAATAATGTTACTCTAAATAAGTAAAAGTCAAAATTACAACATTGGAAGATTACTCCAGTTTTTCTCTCAAAATTTTACTCAAGTTAATGAGTTAGTGCACACACACACACACACACACACACACACACACACACACACACACACACACTGGCGTGAAATCTGCTGGAGTTGACATGCTCGTAGTGGTAATGAATGACACCTTTGGAAGTATTAAACTGTTTATTCCTGGTAATTGGCTACTTGTTTTTAATGAGTTACACTGTTGATACAAACAAAAAGGTGTGTGTTATTGAATATGGTGGTCTGGTCCATAATGCCCAGCCTTCTCCTGTCTTTTGGAATATTTCTGACGTGTGGGTGAAGTTTTAGTCAGGAGTGTCACACTTATGACGTAAAGTAAGTGGGATAGCATTCGTCCTGTGTGAGGGATGGTCCATCGTCATGCATGTGTCAGTGATGTGTATCTACCCCACCCACCAAATGAAGACTGCCGCTTGATGTTGTGTTGGTAGTAAAACATATTTTAGAGGTAGTAAAAGGTAGTAAATTAAAGTTGGATTTTATATAGGTTAGGCATTCCAGGAATATATGAGACCTGGAAGGGATTCCTGGAAACAACTAAAGGACTGTTGAGCTGCTGAAGGTAACATGAAGTCCATCTCAAGAAGAGTTCATTAACGTCTGGAGTCATCTGCATGCTGGATCAACATTATTATTTATCTGTGGACTTTCTTGTCTCAGTGTTTATCGTAGACGAGGGGACTTAAACGGGACCCAACAGTGAGCCCTGAGGAACTCCTGAACAGTTGGGATTCTCCATTAAAGCAGGAACCAATTTCTTTCTCTGATTTTCAGGAATTTCATCTGGAATACGACAAACTAGAAGAGCGACCTCACGTTCCCTCCACATTCAACTACAATCCTGCCCAGCAGGCCTTCTGATTGGCTCTCCCTCCTTCCTGCCTGGCTGCCATCAGCCCTCCTGGTTCATCAGTCAACCCCCCCCCAAGGTTTTCGCTGCTCAACACTGGAACGAGTCTGCCCTGGTTGGGCTCAGGTCCAAGCCTCCTCTCCTTTACGTTTGCCTGTTACCTCTTCTGCTTCAGGTTCTTGTTTTATCTACCGACTGACACACAAACTCTCCACCTGACAGCGGGACTCTTTTTACCCTCTCTGATGAACTGAATATTTTTTCTAAAGAAGCTGATTTTAACAGAAAACAGGAAGTAATCTCCTGTCAGGAAGGAGAATTTTGTGTCTCAACAGAAACATTTTCCAGTTTTATTCCAACATTACAAATCCGAGCAAATCTCCTCAGACGCCCGACAGCCGGGAGACGTGCAGCCATGTTTGTTGTAGCGCTATTTTATAAGAAAAGAGGAGAAATAAAGAGTCTGTCTTGTTGCGTAAAGAAACAAGAGACATGTTTGACCACGTGTTTCCTGTTAGGTTTGAATGGGCTCACTCCATTTTTACTTTTGCATCATATTCATGTTTATTTATTGTCAACAGATCTTAAGCTGAGACTCAGGTCAACTTAAAGCGACGGCTCACAGGAAAGCCGGCGTGCTTTTACCGAACACGCGACCAGCCAGGCACGCCTAAAAGGAACTGGAGTCTCTCTTTGTCTTTGATTTGTTAACAATAAGACATTTAAATGAAAACAGGAGCACTTAATGAAATTCAGTCTGCTGCCGTCTTCCCAGAGTTTGATACGTGGGAAAAGCGTTTTGTAACCAGTCCAGTTTTTTCTGTTATCTCAGCATAAACACTTTAAATGTGCGTCTCTACACACGACCGTGTTTTTACAGAACAGAATTAAAAATGGCTGAGTCCGTGGTGTGGGTCCGCCGCGGCCCATGAGCCTTGCAGCGGAGGCTCACGGCGGTGCGTTGTCCTAATGTAGTCCCAACTCTGGTCGATGTGAATACCGACGTCACCAAGAACAATTAGGGTCATTATCATGACTTCTGCACATTAAATGCTAATTGTTACTAGGGATGCACCGATGGATCGGCATTTGATCCCAATCGGCCGATAGCGCCCCTATCAGTTTTGATCGGAGTTTTCAAAATAGATCAAAGCAGACCGATCAGGTAGGGTTGTCACGGCAACCGGTGTAGCGGTAAACCCCGGTAAAAAAAGTTGACAATGATAATAACCGTCTTGTTTTTAAAAAAAAAAACATCATCTCCGTGGGTTTACCGTGGCTGCGGTGTAGGCGCGGTGACCCTTACCAGCCACCGTATCATCTGCTGAAGTTGCCGGCGGCAAATGCGCACTTTGTTGTTTACAACCAAAACTTTCTTGAAGCTAAAGCTGAAATAATGGCCAAAGGAGGAGACGGCAGCGCTCAGGACATTTATTATCCCTCAAAGAAGACAAAGTGGGAAGTACGGGCATGTTTTGGATATTTGAAGAATGCCGAGGGACAGCTGATAGAAGACGGCTATCCTGTTTGCAGCACGAGCAGAAAAAGTGTCTGTGAAAGGCAGCAACGCTTCAAATCTCATGACACATCTGCGTGACCGTCACCCACAACTCTACAGTAAACGCAAGGCAAGCTAACGTTAGCGCTTTAGCTAAAATGTGTGATCCGAGGATTTGGGTTGAGGGAGAATGCAACGAGTGGCTATATAAAGCAGCCGCAGCGCCGCTACCTGCATATAAACCGTGTCGCGGACACCGCCATGTTGAAATGATGCTATGCATTACGGGGCTCCCAGGGGCAGATAAGAGTTGGTCTCTCTCCGAGAATAATTATGAATTTAACAACGATTACTGCCTGATGACATTTTCCCACATCTGCAAAGCTCACTGGAAGGACACAAACCGAGGACGATATTTTCCTGATATAGGGTTTATTACTCAAGTAAGGGTAAAAAAAAGTATCTGGTTAGAAGGCTACTTGAGTACTGAGTATCATCTGATCTAATATTTTTAAAATGATGACATCAAACAGACATAAAATAAGAAGTTATGGGCAAATATTGGTATTTTAAAGACTAAAGGGGAAAAATGTAAACAAATAAACAACATAATTACAAAATAACACATTTTAGGCAAAATTTAGACACAAACTGAGGACAATAGTTTCCTGACATACAGGGTTTATGTAGTTGTGTGAAAATGTAACACGTTTAAAAAAATACCGCGATAATACTGAAAACTGTGGTAATTTTGGTCACAATAACCGTGAGGTTACATTTTCACACCGTGACAACCCTAATACACACCATTTTAGATTAGGTTACATTTCCTTTATTCCCAGATTATGTAGTTTGTAGCACTCATTCTAATGTTGTAGAAAATTTCTGGCCAATCCACGTGATCGGTATCGGTGATCGGCAGCAAAAAACCTGATCGGTGCATTCACTTACATTGTTTATGCTAAGCTAAAGCTAACGGAATAATGGGGGGTTGGGAGAATGACTGAGCTGGTCACAAAATGCTCTTTTCTAACTCAGGAGTAGGACAGCAGACCAGATTTCACTCGGGTGGAATATCCCTTTAAACAGAAGGATTATGGGAAATGATCAACTTCTAGATCTAAAACTTAGAATCCCGTTTTATCATCATCTCACTGTTTTACAGTTTTAATCCCGCTACCTTGTTTTTACTTCAGATCCGTTTCCTTCCTTGTGGTTTTCCCTCTGCTCTTTGTGGACTTTTCCTCCTCAGCCGAACGGAGGTGAGATGTTCTCGACGTCGACCTGAAATCTGATAGAAGAGCTGAATGTAAACAAAACCAGCAACAAGCAGCATCACCAACGGCTTCTCTTCCACGTCAGTTTGACTGCTTTTGTTTAGGATCTTTTAGATCATCAGATTGATTGTTCTCAGGGTCAGAAGCAGTTCTAATGCTGAGCTCATTTACAGCTGGCTGTAATTAATAAAAGTGTTAATGATTTAAATCTTTGCAAGACAACAGAACATCTCATCTCACCATAAATTAACGTTTTCTTTGAGGATCTGTTCTGAACACAACCAAACCAACCCTTTGGTGGTTAGGTTTGACCTCCCCACCAGGAGGCGCTGGTGCTCAGCGCTGTGTAGATGTTCTGAATGTGCAAACGCAGATTCCAGGCAGCAAAAACAACAAAATGAGGAATTCATCCAAAAGAGGAGACCCCGCCTCCTCACCACGATGCAATACTCCTGTTACCATGGAGACGATGAAAACAGCTCGATCACACAAGCCAAGGACCCATGTGACCCCTCTGGGAAGATTTGATTGGTGGACTGAGGGACTTGGCCGTGGCTGTTTTGTCAAATATGGCAGCTAGTGTTTTATTAGAAAAAGAATAAATAAATAAATATTCTGATAATGAAAGTCAAAATGGAGTCCTGTGTGTTTGTGTGCGTTGTTTTTCCACAGCTTTACGATCTGGTGAGTTGTTATCGGCGACGGTGGCATAGGAGTTACCTGCGCGCCCCGTAATGGGAAGGTTGCAGGTTCGAGCCCTGCCTGTTGCTGTTGTGGCCACCTTGCCTGCTGGTGGTGGTCGGAGGGACCAGTGTTGCCTGTGTACGGCAGCCTCGCCTCTGTTGGAGCGCTCCAGGCCTGCTGTGGCTACATCGTAGCTCATTACTACCAGGGTGTGAATGGGTGAATGACTGTTTGTATTGTAAAGCACCTTGGGGGTTTCCAGGACTCCAGATGGTGCTATGTCAAATACGGTCTTTTACTAAAAAAGTTTTTGCTCGATATCTAGGAACCTGTTGTTCAATTCAATTCAAGTTTATTTATAAAGCGCCAAATCACGACAAGAGTCGTCTCAAGGCACTTCACATAATAAACATTCCAATTCAGGTCAGTTCATTAAGCCAATCAGAAATAATGTTTCCTATATAAGGAACCCAGCAAATTGCATCGAGTCACTGACTAGTGTCAGTGACTATACAGCAATCCTCATACTAAGCAAGCATACAGCGACAGTGGAGAGGAAAACTCCCTTTCATGCCGGGGACACACCGGCCGCGGAAGCGCCGCGAAAATGGGGACGCCTTCATTCGGCGCCCTTGTTAAGCTATTCTATAGACCACTTGGGCCGCCGAAGCGCCTCGCACCGGCGCGCACCGGCGCTCCAGCCGCGCCGTGCAGCGATCATTTCGGCTTCTGCTCTATTTTTTTCGCGAGCCGCGGGTGAATCGCTTCAATTCTGGCAGGAAGTCAAACCTAGACATAAGAGGCAGGCCGGTAAATTTAACAAAATAAAGCATTTCAAAATAAAATTCCGCAATAGTCAAATGTGTTCGTAATCAGACACTGCAGAAAAACCACACGAACACACACACACATCGAACTTGTGTGCGTGTGTGACCACGTGAAGGGGTGTGTGGTTTTGGGTGTCTTTTTTCTGGAGCAAACAGGACAGAGAGGCAGAAAGTCTGAGGCAAGCAGTTAAGATGGATGACTTTAATTATGGAAGTTGAGAAACACAAGGAGCTGTACGCCCCCCAAAAAACATGATTATTTACGTCCCCATTTAGGAAGAAACTGCTAGGATACAGCTGCAGAATTGGAGCGGGTTCCAAGAGATTCAACTGGCAGAAACAACTCATACCATAGGTTCACACACACACACACACACACACACACACACACACACACACTCAAACGTAGAGGAAAAGAGCTGAGAAAAGGCAGAGAGGAAATGGAGGACACCAAGTGTTTAAAAGGAAAAACTACAGCTGAGCTGAGGCGCGCCTCGACCGGGGCGCGTCTGATCTGAACTGAGGAGCGGCGAGCAGCGGCCAAATTTCGTGAGCGATTCGCTTTGCGGCGCTTCCACGGCCGGTGTGTCCCCGGCGTTAACAGGAAGAAACCTCCAGAGAATCCTGGCTCAGTATAAGCAGCCATCCTCCATGACTCACTGGGGATGGAGAAGACAGAGCACACACACACACACACACACACACACACACACACACACACACACCAAGTAATGTGTCTATGGTTACATTGTGATTTCTTAGTAAATATTCTATTTGGCGAGAGATAAACTTTAATTATAGATTCACTAGGATAAATACAATAAACGGATAAACTAGTAGTAGCACATCCAACGTCAAGGAAAGCAAAAAGTTATTATCAGGAGAGGGAGAATGTTTTAGTGGTTAGCAGCAGTGTGCTAGACGATGGCCCCTCCATGAGGCCACCACAGCTCAGCAGAACATCGTTGTAGCTTCTTCTGGGGAGAAAAACACTTAGAGAGAAAATAAAGTTAACAGCTGAAATAGCAGGAAATAATACAGTTAAAGAGCAGACTGTAGAAGAAAGCAGTAGAGTGTGGAAAGTGGTCAGTGTGTCCTCCAGCAGTCTTAGCCTATAGCAGCATAACTACAGAGATAACTCTGGATAATCTATCCTATTTAGATGGAGGCATGTTGGAGGCAGGGCAAGGGAGAGCCGTCTTTACCGACTGTACACTCCACCTCCCTGTACTCCCCCACTTGTCCAGATCTAGGCTAACATCAGATTTTAACCATAGGCCCTATCAAATAAACATGTTTTAAGCCTAGTCTTAAAAGTAGACAAAGTGTCTGCCTCACGGACTAAAGCTGGGAGCTGGTTCCACAGGAGAGGAGCCTGATAACTAAAAGATCTGCCTCCCATCCTAATTTTAGACATTCTTGGAACCACCAGTAGACCTGCAGTCTGAGAGCGAAGTGCTCGGTTAGGAACATATGGAACAATCAGATCACTGATGTATGATGGAGCTTGATTATTAAGAGCTTTATATGTGAGAAGAAGGATCTTAAAATCTATTCTGAATTTAACAGGTAGCCAATGTAGGGAAGCTAAGACAGGAGAGATATGATCTCTCTTTTTAATTCTCATCAGAACTCTAGCTGCAGCATTTTGGACAAGCTGAAGACTTTTAACTACATTCTGTGGACTTCCTGAGAGTAATGGATTACAGTAATCCAGTCTTGATGTAATAAATGCATGAACTAGTTTTTCAGCATCACTCCTGGAAAGGATGCTTCTAATCTTAGCAATATTCCGAAAGTGGAAAAAGGAAATCCGACAAACTTGTGTTTCTTACCCAGAACTCAGTTTCTTCTAGACACAAGGTTCTGATGAACACACACCATTCAATCACCAAACATCACATCCCATCCACCTAGATTCATCCATCACAGTCATCTTATTTAACTTGTCTTGTTTTTAATTTGTTTAGAAAATAAATTTCTTACTTTTTATAAACCTGACTCTGATACGAAGTGTGTTTGATCCCTGAAAAGGCAAAGAATCCTAATTCTTCTGATTAAACATCCAAAGACCAATCAGAGTGATACTCTATATAGAATATCACAGCTTATTGGTTATAAGTAAAGGTAATATATTAAGCTTAAAAGCAACAATATTTACCCTTCTACACAGATTTCACATTTTCTCTCAGATACACAGAACGGTTGCTACAACATCTAGCTTCCATCACAACACCTCACATCCTCCACACCACCTCTCATTATTCATATCTTGTCATGTATAAATTATTAGTTTAGGAAAAAGAATAAAATTCATTTTATAAACTACATACTGACTCTGTCTGAATTAATACGAAGTGTGTTTATGATCCCTGAATAAGAAAGAACCCTAAACTCTGCTGATTAAACATTCAAAGATCAATCAGATTGATATTTCATATTTATATGGAATATCAATCTGATTGGTCATAATTAATATGTATTAAATGTTACACATGAATAATGGATAGAAGTAGGATGGATGGATGGATGGATGGATGAATAATGGATAGATGAATTATGGATGGATGGATGAAACATGGACAGATGAATGACAGTTGGTTGGATGATGGATGGATGGATGAATAATGGATAGATGAATGATGGATGGATGGATGAACGGATGAATGGATGAAACATGGACAGATGAATGACAGTTGGTTGGATGACAGATGGTTGGATGATGGATGGATGGATGAATAATGGATAGATGAAGGATGGATGGATGGATGAATGAAACATGGACAGATGAATGACAGATGGTTGGATGATGGATGGATGGATGGATGAATAATGGATAGATGAATGATGGATGGATGAACGGATGGATGGATGAAACATGGACAGATGAATGTGTAACGTAATGAAGTTAATTATTTTCAGCTCCACACAGCTGCCCCTGTATAGATGGTTGGATGATGGATGGATGAATAATGGACAGATGAATGATAGATGGTTGGATGATGGATGGATGGATGGATGAAACATGGACAGATGAATGATAGATGATTGGATGATGGATGGATGGATGGATGAAACATGGACAGATGAATGATAGATGATTGGATGATGGATGGATGATGGATGAACGATGGAAAACTGAATGATGGATGGGTGAATAATGGATAGATGAATGATAGATGGTTGGATGATGGATGGATGGATGAATATTGGATAGATGAATGATGGATGAACGATGGAAAACTGAATGATGGATGGATGTATAATGGATGGATGGATGAATGATGGATGGATGAATAATGGATAGATGAATGAAGGATGAACGATGGAAAACTGAATGATGGATGGATGGATGGATGGATAGATGAATGATGGATGGATGGATGGATGGATGGATGAACGATGGAAAACTGAATGATGGATGGATGTATAATGGATGGATGGATGAATGATGGATGGATGGATGGATGAATAATGGATAGATGAATGAAGGATGAACGATGGAAAACTGAATGATGGATGGATGGATGGATGGATGGATAGATGAATGATGGATGGATGGATGGATGGATGGATGGATGAATATTGGATAGATGAATGATGGATGAACGATGGAAAACTGAATGATGGATGGATGTATAATGGATGGATGGATGAATGATGGATGGATGGATGGATGAATAATGGATAGATGAATGAAGGATGAACGATGGAAAACTGAATGATGGATGGATGGATGGATGGATAGATGAATGATGGATGGATGGATGGATGGATGGATGGATGGATGGATGGATGAGTAAACCTGGATGATTATTAATTGGAGTCTATAGTCTTGTGCACGGAGGACCAGCCTTTTGCACGGGTGAACACGACGTTTGCAGAACCGGGGGATTGTTTTGCTCTGCTGAGTGAGAGTGATGCTCCCTCCCGTCACTAAGAGGCTTATATCGTGCAGCTTGTAACTGCGGATAACAACAAGCAGCCTGCGGTGAAATAAAACTCAAATCTGGGTTGAATCATCCGAGCGAGTGAGCCTCATCCGGGCTGCACAGAGAGAGAGAGAGAGCTGTAACCATAGCAACGCGTCTCTGCTGTGAGCAGAGCTGTGTGAGCAGAAGTA